CTTAATTATCAAAGAAATAGCCTTAAACAAGCCTTTAAATCTATTTCTATTAAATAAATGTTCAATCCAAATCTATTTAATTTCTATTCTAAATTAAACCAACACCAGTTATAAGGAAAAACTCAAAATAAAAATAACTTACCGCATTAAAATATATAAAGTCTCCAAAATACGTCACTTCATCATTTCCAAAAATATGAAAATCGAAACAAATTTCACAAAGTTCACAAATTTGATTCCAAACAAAGTATATAAAAAAAAATACACTTTTCAAAAAAAAAAAAAGAAGGAAACTCGCACTAAAATCCTTTTAACTTTTCCTTTTTCCTTCGAAAGCACAATCTCGAAATTCCAAATATTCCTTTTTTTTTTCTTTTTCTTTTCCTTTTCTCTTGTGATGCCGAGACGACTTTCCTCCGCACAGTCACCAGGAAGACTAACTGTCCTCGCCAGTTACCTCACCTGTTGTAACTACGCCTCCTACCCCCCCCCCCATCCCCACCCCTTCCTAACCTACCCCTACCCTCCTCCTCCGTTATCCCTTCCCCCCCCCACCACTACCCTTCCCCCTCTTTAACAATTCCCATAACCCCTTTTGCGTACCTCACCTCCCCCCCCCCCACCTCCTCCTCCTCCTTCTCCTTACTCCTCTTTCTCACTGGATATGGCTTTCACCCCCTCCCCCCTCACACTCCTTTCCTCCTCCCCTCCCTTTTCCTCCTTTTTACCATAGGCTGGTAACAGTTCTCCTCCCCCCCCCCCCCTCCTCCCCCTTAACCTACCTTTCTATCACCCCCTCCCCCCGAATTACCCTCCTTTTCCTTACCTTCCCTTCCCCTCCCCCTCCCCTCCCCCCTTTTCCCTCCTCCCCCCCTTCTCCTTGTCGACTTTACTTGACCTAGTTTCGCGAAGGGAAAATAATCCACCTGTTGTGAAGCTTTCGGTTGGAAAGGTATTTCCCGATACCAGAGGAAGGGGGGGGAGGAGGGGGAAGGAGGGAAGGAGGGAAGGGAGGTAGAAGGAACGGGTATTTCTGAAAGATAAGTCAAAAAGCGACACGAAGGAAAGGAAAAAAGAAAAATTCTCGTTAATGAGCATTTCGAGAGAGAAAAAAAACGAAAATAATTTTGTCATTTATCCTATTTTTTTCTGTTTTCGTTTATTCTGCCTTGTTCTTCATTCCTTTTTCTACTTCTCCCTTTCTCCGAAAAAAAAAATTCTCATTAATGAGCATTTCGAGAAAAAAATCAACATATTTTGTCATTTTATCCTATTTTTATTTCTTGTTTTCGTTTATTCTGCCTTGTTCTTCATTCCTTTTTCTACTTCTTCTCCCTTCCTCCGAAAAAAATTCTCGTTAATGAGCATTTCGAGAGAAAAAAAAACAACACATTTTGTCATTTTATCCTATTTTTTTCTTGTTTTCGTTTATTCTGCCTTGTTCTTCATTCCTTTTTCTACTTCTTCTCCCTTCCTCCGAAAAAAAAATCTCGTTAATGAGCATTTCTAGAGAAAAAAAATCAACATATTTTGTCATTTTATCCTATTTTTTTCTTGTTTTCGTTTATTCTGCCTTGTTCTTCATTCCTTTTTCTACTTCTTCTCCCTTCCTCCGAAAAAAAAATCTCGTTAATGAGCATTTCGAGAAAAAAATCAACATATTTTGTCATTTATCCTATTTATTTCTTGTTTTCGTTTATTCTGCCTTGTTCTTCATTCCTTTTTTCTACTTCTTCTCCCTTCCTCCTCCCACTATTTTTTTTTTTTAGATCGTGATCTCTGGGTCTAAGAATTCAGACTTCAGGGATATAATGCAAAAATTCTCTCCAACTTCAGGAAGAGTTTTACGAGGTCGACAAAGTTAATTCCATTCTGTTCGTGGTTTGTTACGAATGCGAATAATTTACAAGAGTCTCGGTAAAGAAGGAGGAGAGAAAGAAAGAAAAAAAATCAGTTTAATATTCCTAATTTACTTTAAATTTGATGTGTATTGACGTAATTTTATATATCTAATCTATATCTGATTTTACATTCGTCGAGTAAATGCAGTTCTGATAAAATGAAATAAAAAGATGAGTTCCAGGTCAAGTGAATAACGGAGGTAAAACATTTTTCCAACTCGAGCCGTACGGACCTAAAATAATTTTTATTTCCTCTTCAGTCTTGAGAAAAATTGTTCTAATTTTACTTATAACGTCCCTTCATTATTCATAGATCTCTGACGGTTGAAAAATAAATAAATAACCCAACCGCCTTTAATAAATAAACTTGAAGAACCGACGAAGTGACAACTCTTCAGTCAAGTGACTTTAGGCAGGTAGAAGGGTGAAGGGGGAGGGAGGGGGGTACAGGTAACAGGGGGAGGGAAAGGATAAAGGTAATAGGGGGGGATGGGTCGAGGGGAAGGGGGGGGGAAGGGATGGGACATGTAAACAACCCACGTAAACAATCGACCAATAAACCCCTTTCGGTTTACCTAACATGACGTAAAAACATCAGGTGGAAAAGGGTGGGAAAGATTTTCCCTTGGGTCCGTGCGAAAAGAAAGGGGTATATGATAAGTTATACCTGACTACAAATGCATATCGCTATGCTCCCTAACCTGACCTGAAATAAACAGATAAGAAAATACTGAATAGACATACCACGAATGATAAATATATAACAAACAGATAGGCATATACTGATAGTACAATTGATAAATCAACGTGGATAGAATTAACTATATATATAAAACAAATAGCCATACGCTACTAGAACAATAGATAAATAAGCAAGGATAGAATTAATAATTAATATACATCAAACAGATGGTCATAAACTGATAGAACAGTAGATAAATTAGTAAAGAGAGAATCGACGACGAATGACGATCGCCATGCGCAACAAATTGGCGGGAAAATCCTTCGACGCGCTGTGCCCTACTAATATTTATAAAGAAGGAAGCGCGCGGCATTTGGTGTATCTGTTAGTCATCTGGATCTTCAAGGAGCGGCTGAGGAAATGGAATTCAAGGAAAAAGTTACCCTTGATAGCGAGCGCCGGGCTTCGGAATCTCTCTCTCTCTCTCTCTCTCTCTCTCTCTCCCCGGTTGTTTTTTCTTTCGTTTATCGTTCGTATCCTAATTTTCTCTTTTTACTGTCTGCATTGCTCTTCTCTGCTTCTGATCCTGTCTTTGCTTCTGTCTAATTATCGGCGTTTCTAGCTGTTTATCTGTCTGTCTGTCTGTCTTTCTCTCTCTCTCTCTCTCTCTCTCTCTCTCTCTCTCTCTCTCTCTCTCTCTCTCTCTCTCCTGATCACCTGTTATGACCTACTTTCCACGGTCGACATCCAGCCAATGAGAGCGTCCGATGGAGTCGGGGGGGGGGGGGGTAAGCGAATTGGCCAATGAGCGACCGCGATTTGCCGTGACGTTAAACGCTGGGAAAGTTACATAAGGATTGGAAAATGAGACTTATAAACGGATGGTAAAAGGGTTGTGGCTTGTTTTTTTGTTTGTCTTTATAATATCTATTGTTTATTTATTTATTTTTTCTAGTTCCTTTTGATATTCACACGTTAAGTATATAAAGTATGCGATCTTTAAACCTTCGTATGTTTTCTTTGGCTTTCACTTTAACGCTCTCTAAAATATTCTCGATCTTATTTTAATTTTTACGCTCGTGGGCCATAAGACCGAAACTCGCTCGTCAGTGTCCTTACCGGGGGGTGCTTGGGGGCTCGGGGGGGGGAGGGGGGTAGTTACAGTGGGCTGTTTCCCTTCAACAACCCCTTCCCCTCCCCCTTCCCCTCCCCTTCCCCCCCACCTCCCGGAACAAGGTCGGACCGTGGAAAGAAGAAAAAGAAGAGAGGAAGAAGAAGGGGAGAAGAAGAAGGAAGCGAGAAAGAAGAAGGAGGTAGAGAAGGAGGAAGAGGAGGAAAGGAAGAACGAAGAGTGAAGAATATAATGCGAAGGGAGAGGAAGACAAGGAAAAGGAGGAGGAAGAGGAGGGAAGGAAGAAGAACGAAGAGAGAAAAATAGAATACGAAGGAAGAGAAAGAGGAAAAAGAGAATGAGGAAGAGAAGAAGAAAAACGAAGAGAGAATAGAATAAGAAGAGAAGCAGGATGCGAAGACGATAAAAAGAAGAACTGGCCGTAGGGGAAGCAGGGAGAGACAGGGAAAGAAGAAGAAGCGAGAGAGGGAGGGAGGCAGGGAGGAGAGGAGAAGGGGGGAGGGGGGGAAACCACCTGACCTCGCCTGGGTCGTCTCGCCGACAGGTTAACTAGGTCGAACTGGGCGAAGGATAACCCCCCCACCACCCACCACCCACCCCTTTACTCCTCCTCCTCCTCCCACCCCCTCCTCTCCCTCCCTCCTCCCCTCCTCCCTCCTCTCTCCTCCTCCTCCCTCCCTTTCTCCTCCCCTCCTCCTCCCCCCCTTTTCTTTACCGACAAACAACGTAACGGATTGTGGATTAAGAGGCCGGGTTTAACAAATTGCGGGAGTGTGAGAGACAAACCGGTTTATGAACGGGAAGCAGAGGCGGAGAAGAAAAAAAGAATGGAGGAATGGAGGAATGGAGGAATGAAGAGATTGGAAGGAAGAGAAGGAGGAGAAGAGAAAGAGATGATTAGAAAGAGAAGGGATGAGAAGGAGAAGGGAGGAGAAGGGGAGAGAAGAGAGGAGAAAGAAGGAGGAGAAAGAAAAGGAGAGAGAAAAGAAGAGAGAGAGAGAGAGAGAGAGAGAAGAAGAGAGAGAGAGAGAGAGAGAGAGAGAGAGAGAGAGAGAGAGAGAAGAGAGAGAAGAGAGAGAGAGAGAAGAGAGAGAGAGAGAGACATATAGAGACAGAAAGAAAGAGAGAGAGAGACAAGAACGACAAAAGAAAAATAACCCAACCAAAATCCGAAGAATTCTGAAAACAACAACAACCAAAGGAAGAAGACCAACAGACCAATAAACGAAAAAGAGAACCAAGAAGAAAGGAATAAAGGGCGAACTACCTAGAAGGAAAGTATGTTGTTTAACCGAAGGATTAAGTGGAACTAGCGACTCCTTGTTATATGGCCTAGTCGGGTTGTCACGCGGTTTAAAGCTCTGTTTATTTCGTAGATAGAGGGAAAAACGGGAGGGATAGAGACGGTGAGATGAATAGATGGATAGAGGGATGTGCGAAACTTGTATTTTCAAAAAGGAAATCATAACAAAATGGCGTACGGGGTTGGTGGTCCCAGAACCACACGC